GCGGGCCCGAGTCGGCGTCGTGGCTCGCGGCGCGCAGGTAGCACGCGAACATGTCCTCGTCGTTGCGCCGCGCCGCCTCCAGCAGGCCCTCCTGGATCTTCTGCGTGCGGCTCTCGCCGTCGCGGACCATGTACAGCTGGCTCGTGGGCCGGCCGAGGTTGAGCTTCGACCTGCCCCAGGACAGTAGTCTGTGGCCTCGAAGTCGATGGCTTGGGAGCGGAGGGATGTGCATGAGCTGGGCTGGCTGTCCGTAAAGCTCCTCCTCCTCATCCCCCTGGGACCCCGGGCGTGAGGCAGCCTGCTTTTGCTCTTGTCCGGGTCGTTGCTGTATCCTCCTCTGCCTCGCCGCCCTCGCCAGCGCAAGAAACGCCCTCTCCACGCCCGTGGCATCCCACGCCGACGTTTCGTAATAGTCCATCCCCAACCCCCTCGCCAGCTGCGCCCCCGTCTCGGTCGACACCTCCCTCAGCCCCTTGAGATCGCACATGTTGCCCACCAGCACGACGGGCACCTGGCCCTCGGCCCTCATCGTCTGCCACCGCAGCCACGCGTACGCCTCCATGGCGCACCGCAGCGACTCGACCGACGCCACGCTGAACACCATCATGACGGCGTCGGCGCCCTCGAAGTCGTGCTCCCCCTGCATGCCGTCCCCTCCCCGGAACTCGACGTCGAGGAGGTCCAGCGCGCCGTCCTCGCCATCGACGGTGATGTCCTTGCGGCAGCCCTCGCCGCGGAACGGGTCGTAGTCTTCACTTACGTGCCCGTAGCAGAACTGCGGAACAGTGATGGTCAGCCTGACATGTTTTCCCCATGACACCCGGTGGAAGTTTCCATTCAAGCCCAAGAAGACTCATTCATGTATTCGAGACTCTCCTCCGGTTAGGTATTCGCTCACCTGCTCTATCAAAGAGTTCTTGCCCACCCCGGCCGCCCCGATGAGGAGGACCCTATCCTCCGGCACGATCTTATGGCCCGCCGCCATCGCAAATAGGTAAGAATATAAAGAAACAAGCGAAGGTTGGAAAGGTTCAGATTATATCATGTAGGACAACAGTCCCGTGGAGTTTGGTTTTAGCCAGGTAAGCGGCAGTGGAAAAGGTAAAAAAAGAGAGTGTCGAATCAGAATCCTACCCATACGAGTCTGTTGGGCAGGGATACGAGAAGGAAGAAGAAAGGCAAATGCCGCCTCGTGCTTTGCCTCACTCGTTCTTCCTCTATCAGAGACACGAGGCACCCCGGCTGATCCCGCCGTAAATGAAGAAATCGATCAGTAAAGAAGGGGGAGGGGGCGGAGGGGGGCGATGGATGGACGGGGGACGAAAGCAGGATTCCCCAAGGCCAGAACAGCCGCCGCATGAAAGAGTGACGCAACACCAGGTGTGCAAATGAAAGGATGTCCCCGAAGGAGAGAAAGGAATAGTTTAAACACGGTGGAGAGTGGATGACCAAGAAGAGAAGAGAAAAAACCTCACCACCAAGGGAGAGGAGAGAAAAAATCGAAAGCCACCGGAAAAAAAGCAAAGAGGAGGCGTCGTACTCAATCTTATTCGGGGGCTGCGGCAAACATGAAGACCTTGCGTTCGTTCGTGCTGCGCGCGCTGTACCGTGTCACTGCATCACATCACATCACATCGCATCGCCTTGCAGCAGCTCGCACACACGTGCCGGAGGCCCCCGTGGCCTCTTCCATCCTCACCTCACACCTTACCCTCCTGCTCGATGCGTGTTCCGTAATCAAAAAGCGTAGGGAAGGCCTCGCGACGCTGAAACCCCGAGCGAACGCACCAACCAGAGCCCAGGCCAGCCCGAACTCACCGGCACATTGGGAGGAGCTGCCGGTACTTTCCCTTGCAGCAGTTCCCCTACAGACAGAGGTAGGCAGCGCTGCAGAGGTGAAATGGGTGAAATTCCAGGCTGGTTCCAGGCGCCCGCCCCCTGTCCAACATCAAACGCACGGGGCGTTCCCTTTCCCCCTTCCAGCCCGCGATTCATCCATCCGCCGTCCCAGCTACCCAATCGCATGCGCTAGTTCCGTCTGGTGAAACGCCGCATGTTCGATCCGTCTCCCCTCCTTCCTTCCAACTTCCTTCCCTCGTTGGCTGCCGCCCGTCAGCTTCAATTCCAAGGGTCACAACCCTCGTGTTTTGTGTTCTGGCCTCACCGTGATACCCAAACCCATTGGGCTGTGCTGTCCTCGACCAGACCGATTGGCACGCCTTCGCGACTGCAACCCTCCCACGCGCCCAGCACCTCAACTCCCCCCTCCCCCTCCTCCCGCCCTGCGTCATCCATCCATCGTACGATGCGTCAACCCTTCCAGCACCAGAACGTGCACCTCGAGACTGTCAACTCGAAGCTCGTATTCCCATGCCCAGACGCTTCTGCACCACGCAGTGCGACGTAGCCAAGGCGTATTCACCACACAATGGCCCGTCCCTCCAACATCCACCGCCTCCTCCTCCTCTTCAGCCCCCCCCTCCTCAGCCGCCGCCACCGACCCCATCCCATTGATTGACACTCTGCGTAAGGTAGCAACCGATGCAAAACACTCACTCGCCAACACCCACTTTTGCTTACACAGGCTTTCGTCATCAAAACCCGAGACCGGGCAAGCCCAAACAGGACACGAATCAATCACACTGGGGGTAAGAACACAGTAGAGTGGACGTAGATCATCAATTGTTACGGATGCTGTTAACGCACTATTTCAATCCCCTTTGTGCAACGTCCCGGCTCCTCCCCAATGCCAATAGTAAAAGACAAAAACTCCATGTGCCGCTGAATTGTTACCTGTTCTCAGAGCGTTTGTTTCCGTATTTTCCAATCCCGAGTTTTGTTGACCCGTGCCCTAGCTGAACCATTGCCAGAACACAAAAAATTATACGTGTATAATAAGAAAGAGCGCCACGACCAGGGCGGGATCCCCGGATGATGTGATTCAAGTCATGGTGGATGAGCCTTCCAGACTCCACAACCATAACCCAAGGACCCTGACCCAGGTCGTGGGCATCGTTCATCGTAAACATGAAACCAAATCCAGCATAAGCGAATGCAGCCCAGGCAATCTCGATGCATTTGCGCCGCAGCATCAAAATAAAAACAAGAGCCAATGCCAAATGCCAAAACAATTTCCCTTAACACCGTGAGCGCCATGCAAGCCTCCCAGAATATACGAAAGAAAGGTGAACCGTTGAATCTCCACCTCAATTTTTTTTCTTGTTTCCAATTTGCCCATCCATCACCGATCGAGGTAGCGAAGGAGTTGGGAAGGGGCTGGTGAACGTATCATAGTACAATTATACTCAACAGTGCCAGCTTGTTGAGTCCCCATGCATGCTTGATGCATGTACTGCCTTGTAGCAAACATCCCGTTCCATCGCTGTTTATGAGGCTGCGGTTGAGTCAATCATGACAAGTGCAGTTAAAATGATCAACCTCGGATGGTAGGTGTGGTGTGCGAGTCTCCCCTCCAGTGGAAACGATCCGGCCCTGTTGCTGGCTCTCCATAAAAGGAGGGACCAGTCACGACGGGGACGGCCAGATGTGTCAACGTTGTTGCAGCCGGTCGCGTTTCCGTGGCCTTGGGGATCAAAAAGCTGTCGGATAGAGTAGCTGTGATAGGGGGACGTCCCGCCGAGTATGTGTGAAGAGAGTGGTGAACTGCCGTCGTCTTGGTTCCTCGTGCGCTGGGCACATCGCCACCATTGGTTCCGTCAAACTGGTTGTTCTTGAGGACCCTATCCTTGGGGGGCTTCTCCTGTGGTGATTGCGCTTGTTGCTTTGAGCCAAACTATAACCCCCATTCCAGTCAGTATCAAAGAACTCCAAAGCAAAGACATGTTGATGATAAAAATAGGCGAGACCATGAGACGGTTGTGGAAACCGCTCGCCGTTGGCCAGTAACCAAGCTGGAGGAATCAAATGTGTAAAGCCGTGGTAGGCGAATTCGAAATGTTGAAATGTAAGCCAGGGGTACGTACGAAGCAATATTTATTCACGAGCTCCTCGTAGGACGAGCTCGGCAGACCAGCAGCTGGAGCGACAACGTTGGCAGCCGGTTTGGGCTGACTACGGCTCACTGATGCTGAAGTGCCACTCTTTATGGTACTTGGTGCATTGCTGGATTTTGAGGGGCGGACGTTGTTCTTCATGTACAGCGTGTCCTTCTCCTTGCCAGTGTCCTTGGAGGCCTGGACTGCGGCAGTCAGAGAGGCGCCAAAGTCATATCGGTTGGAGAACGCAGCGCCACTGGGCGACGACAAGCCCTTGGCAATATTGTCACTGGCAATGTTGCTGCTGGACTTGGACTTGAACCGAAGACCAGGCCCAGACTCGCCAAGAACCTCGTGGATGGGCTGGTCATAGTTTAGGCCTCCCTCGTTGTTGAACTCGCTGAAGGACGAGGGTCTGGCAACAGGTCGGCCATCATGCGTGTTGCGGCGGCGGTTGCTTCGGGGCAGAGCGCCATTACCCTTCCCGCGAGCACCATCCTTGCCGTTCTGGGGAAGATACTTTTTCCGGAAGTCAACCTGGAAGTTGGCCGAGTTATTGTTATCCCAGTACTCCTGCCCGTTCACCGAGTAGCGAACACACAGGAACATGGTCTTGCTTTCCAGGTTGATTGTGTCCGAGAGCTTGATGGAGAAAGTGAAGCGGTCTTGGCTAACAGAATTCTGGCCAGGACGAATCTCTTGATCGTACTCTGCTGTCACTTCAGATGTCGTCTTCCAGTAGTCAAGTGTAAACCGGCAGATGACGTGCTTCTGGAAAGCCAAGTTGGCAACGGCAATGGAGCCAAGCAGCGACTTGTGGTCTGAAGAGAGCCAGACCTTCTCCAACTTGGCAGGCAAAGCCTTTCGAAGAATGGTATCAGAGGGGAAGTTGGGCGTGACAATCTCCCACTCAAAGGGGGGTCCCTTGATGGCGGAGCCTTTAGAGCCACCGGGAAAGGGGAACTCAGTCTCGCTCTCGTGGTTATCGACAGGAGAGGATCCTGCACTGACTGCCAACGGGCGATCCACCTGTAGGAAATGTCGGACATGTTCTAGGTGGGAGTCGAAATGCACAGCCTTGGAGAAGACAGGGGTGCCGGGCATGCTGGAGGGCCGCCGGCGAGAGGATGGTCGAAGGGCTGGTCGAACGAGTTCGCCCGACTTCTTGCGCACCATTTGGGGCTTGTACTTGAGCTCCTCGTCCGTCTCCTCCTCGGATGCAGTGATGGAGTTGTCTGCGGACTTGGTCACTAGCACGTTAGGCTCCGTGGCAGACCGTACATGACCGCTTCTTCGCCTGTGAGCATCAGGTAGCGAGCTAGTGCTGAAACTAACATGCATGCTTCCGTTGTGGGCATGGTGCTCAGCGAGAAGCTGGTTATGATGGTCCTCTGAGTGATGGCTTCTTGGTAGAGCGGAGGGTTGGTGCGAGTTGGTTGCGAGGGCGAGTTCGTTAACAGCGTCTCGCAGCCCGACTAGCCTGGTATGTTTGCGTCCACGGATTTCGGGCGTGCTATCGTCGTCACTACCGGACGAGGCTGAGTCGGGTGGAGAGATGACGGCGCCCTTGGGCATACCGTGCTCATCGGACACGGGTGGAGGTGATTGCCTCACGCTGGCACCGCCGGCGCTTGAGTTGGCGCTGGCGACCATGGCAGGAAGATCTTCCGAGGTCCCCCGGGGGGTTAGGGAGCCGAACGAGGCATCGCTAGGGATTGTGACGGAGGGATTTCTGCGATGTTTTCTCAGGTAGGAGGCGGACCGAGGAAGGGAGGGTCGGGCCCCGGACACCAAGGACGACCGACGGCTGGCGTCAGGCGAGTTGGAGGCTGATGAGGCTGGGGATCGATTTAACGGCGGGGTGTAAGGCATCCCAGCTATGACAAGCGGGGAAAGGCTGTGACGGGGGGAATAATGATGCGAATATCTGATAATTGAACCCTCTAGCAATTGGCCAACAAGCGATAAAAGGCGACTCGAAACAGTAATC